ATTTTTTCTCCTCCTTAATCCTTTACAAATTTCTGCTTTCTGGCAGGTGTTGCTCGTCATCAGCGTGTGAACAAAGTTTCCTGAGGTACACATTTGCTGTTTTGTGTATCTTTTATCTTCACACGGTGACAGAATTTGCGAGCGTGCCTGTTAAATGAGTCAGACTACATGTTTTTTTCTGTGTGAAAAGGAGAATCTATAATCTATAGGAGCAGTTTTATCAAAGCGGGTCACTCTCAGCTCTTGATCTGTTCTTCCCCTCTAACTGCGATGTGGCGGCTCTCTCCCACAGAGAGAACGCACAATGATACCAGGTTCCTCTTTCTATAATGCCTCCCTGTGACACCGCTGCACATTTAATGTCTGCTTGTTCTGGCTTCATCCATCTGTCGATCGCTTTATTCGTCTTTAGCAGCTCGGCCTTGTACCAGACGGCAGCATGCCTTCACTCACACCATTCCCCCCCCACTAAGCAGTTTTAAATATTAGCAGGGTCTTTGAACAGTTCTTTTTAAAATACACTTTGCTTGTAGTTGTGCAAACGTTTTAAACCGAGTCAAATTTTTCTGTTTTTAAAGATTTTAAATTTTGGTTTGAATCAGTTTTCCCAACTTTCTGAAAGCCTGAAAGTTTTTACAGTATAGGCTTTGGCTGCTTTTCCACTCATTTGTTGTTTGTTATGTTCACAGTGACAGCATATTGAGCAGGGTGTACTTAAAAACTGTGGCAAGCAAAAAATAAATAAATAAATAAATAAACAAGGTATAAACTCTGTTAAATAAATGTTAAAAGGCTGAAAAAATGCATCTTCTTTCAGCTTATCAGCTATGCCACGTTTTCAACTAATTCTTTGAGAATCACCAATCATATAATTTTATGTTTGTCAGTGTGGGTTTTTTTTTGTATTTTTTCATAGATTTGTCTAAATGTTGTAGGGTGTTGGACAGGAACTTTGTTTTATTCAGGAGCAGTGTGGCTTTGGTCCTGGCCTTGTGACTTGTGACCATCTTTCCAKCTGAGACGAAAGGCAAAGCTCTCGATTCATTTGTCTGTTTATGTTCCAGCTCATCCATGGTCACGAGTTGTGGATCATGACTAAAGAACAAGATCCAGGACACAAGGAGCTGAAATGGGATTCCTTTGTAGAGCGGCTCACCTCAGCTTTTGAGCTGCTGCTTCTCTGCACTGAAAGGAGTCAGCTGAGGTGGTTAAAGCTGCCTCTTTGGTGGGTTCTCGCAGGGGTGGTGGTGTTGGTGGTGGGGGGGGGATATCTCACAGCAGGAGCTGGAGAGTGTCGGGGAGAGGAACATCTGGGGTCGGATTTATAAAACTGGCGTACGCACAATTTGAGCCCAGAAACTTGCGTACGCCACTTTTCACACCAAGGT